AGTAGATTTTTTTATTTTATCCTTAAAATGATTATTATTTCAAAGTTTAATTTTACTTTTTTCTCTATTTATTTATTTTATAAACAAATTCTAAATTTGATATAATAAAACAATTTATAATAATAATTTAATAAAATGAATATAATTAAATATATATTTTTAATTTTGTGCTAGAATTTTAAATATTTTTTTAAGACGAAATAATTCGTTTCTTATAATTAATCATAATTTATCCAGCAAAACTTATTAATTACCTAAATAGATAATGTTTTAGTTCACAAAGTTTAGTTTTAAATTAAGAAGAAATCAATTGGTGTGTGTATGAATTTATGTGCCCTATCATTAGTTATCTACATAATTAAATTCATAGCGGTTGGAATCACTCTAAATATCAGTGTAGCATTGTTTTGGTAACCACAGTGCAATATAATCCAAGGGTTAATTATTTGACAAAAGATTTAATAAATTCATGGAATATCAAACAGTGAATTAAAAGTTGAAAAACTATTTGCTAGTTAAATGTTTTTAAATAAACTTTTTCAACTTATATTTCCATTCTTATATATATTGTTTAAAGTTTGTGCAATACATATATATTTTATTTTAAAATAAATATACACATAATATATAACATATTTATTTAAAATAATAATATTTAAAAATTATTTTAATTTAATTTTATGACTATAAATATATTCACAAAATTTTTTAAAAAATTATAAAATAATAAAAGAAAGTTAAATAACAACTTTTATCCCTAAAATTTATACTAAAATTAATAAAAATAATAATAATAAAAGTAAAATTTTTGTAGTATAAAACATGCAATTTAACATTATTTTTAGATAATTTTAATATTAAAATATACATGTGTAATTAAAAAAATGTAACGATTAAATATTTCACTTTTTAGACAAAATACTCTTAGTTATAATATAAAAGTTGATTGTTCATAATAATTTTTATATTAAGCACTTATTTAAAAAAATTATAAAGAATAATTTATGATTTTTATAATTTTTTTTTAACTTATTTCAATAAATTTATTAATATAGATTTTTAAAATAAATTATTTTTGAACTTCTTCAAATAAATTTTATTTTTAAATTCATGACATTAGTTATATTTTAAATAACTATCAAATAAATGCTTAAATGAGTAATTATTCAAATAAGTCATAATTATTAAAAATTAAAATTTATTATTTCTGTAATAATTTATGATTAGATCACTATCAATGTATTTAAAATAAAAGTTTTATTTACTTACTAAAAATTTAAGCTAGTTTTAATTATTAATGAATTTTTTCAATCATATTCTTATTTTAGAAAAAGCGAGAGAAAAATGATGACGGGTAATGTTAAAAATAATAATTATAAGAAAAAAATAACTTATTAAAAAACTATAAATATTATAATATAAACGAGAAGATTAATAAATGGAGGAAGTGACGAATAGTTTCAAGTAAAATTGATTATTAAATTAAGCGATAAATATGAAATGAAGTATAAAAACATATATATTTTTTTCAATTTTTTTATTTTATATAGAAAATATAGATAGTTATAGTGTTATGTTTTTTTTTAGTTAATTTCTAGCTCTTACAAAATTTTCATTATCAAATATTTTATTAAAAATCAGAAAAAACAATTTAAAGCATAGTAATTAAAATAAACAGTGTAGTATGAAATATAACCTCAAAAACAATAAAAATAGTGTGGTGATTAAAATAAACTATTGATCATCTTTTTATTTGTATTTGAATTTTTTAACTCCAAAATAATAAATAGAATCAACCTATCATCCTAAAACAAGAGGGAGTAAAAAGGGAATTTTTATTTTCAAAAGAAGATAAAAACAAAAAGTGATAATGTACAAGCTCTGAAGTTATTTTAATTAGAGCCTAAAAAAATGCTATGACGTATTAGAAAGCTAATTTATCAAAGTCCAAGATTTTGTTTAAATAAGCTCATAAACTAATTAAATAAAATATAAATGAGTTGAATGACCCACTAAAATGGGCAAGATTGGAGCTTCTAAATCTGCAAAACTCATTGTGATTGCAACAACTTCTAATTTATTACTTCTGCTCTTTTGTTGGTCTTCTTTTTACAAGAAAAAAAACACTTAAATTCTCACCGCATGTTAGCTAAAATTTTCAACGAGTTACTGGGCATCAAACACGCTTGTATGGAGTGTTTTGAGGGAATTGATTATCAATTTTATGATGTGAAAGGCATTTCATGAATTGTCAAGTGTGCTTGAAAGTTACATTTACTTTGAAATTCATGACATATAAAATGAGATACACACTCATAATCTTAGATCAACTAGCTAGAATGGTCCACCCACTAATCAAAACTTTTTTCTGGTGTGTTTATTACTTACTCATCTCCTACAAAATATTCAAAGAACCCATATACAATTTTTCAAATAATGTCTCTTGTTTTCCAATTTAATCTACGGGTGTACATTTTCTATTTGATAGACAAGAACATATACCTATAAACTAATCTGAGTACTGTTACGATTAGAATTAATTAAAAGATAGGGAGAAGTAACGAATATAACACTTCAGATTGGAATTTCTTTTGGCTTATATAAAAAAATTTGTTAAAGGCAAAGACAGTCAAAGATCACAGTACGAAAATTTTCATGGCCAGCCAAGCAAGAATTAAAAAATAATCAGAGACAAAAATTTCCCTATCAAGGAGGATCGAATCATTCAATTGCCCCCACTTGAATGTACGTAGTTGGAAAATTAAAACCATGGTCATGTAACCACATTTCTCTCTTTATCCTTTAATTTTAAATGAATTACATTAATGTTTTAACACTGGCCAAGATATCTTGTATAGGTAAGATGCACTTGCATATGGGGTTCAATTTTTTTTTTTAATTACCATATTAAAATCTCTAAACTTCTTTTAAAAATCTAAGTGCATTTTTGGATTGGACTATTTTTTGTAAAATAATCATTTACTTTTTTAAAATTCTAGTACAAAGTTATAAAAAAAAAAAAAATTATTTTCAAAATAAGCCTATCCCAATATGTATTAAGAGTTTCAATTAATTACAAAATCACAACTATATTGGGTCGAGGGAAATATAATTTTTTAAAAGAAAGGTTTTAATATATTTAAAAATATATAAATATAATGAAATTTTATTTTAGTTTTAACTTAATTATATTTTTAGTAGTTTCTATGTATAGTCTAGTTTGTTGTATCTTGTTTCTTCTAAATTTAATAGCTCAAATGGTTGAAATTAAGTCTTTCATCTATTAATCAACAAAATTATAATAAAGATGTAATATATCATTGACTTATACAATTTGTAAAAAATAATAATAATTAAATAAATAAAACTTTTATTATATTTTTATACATTATATTTATTATTTTTGTTTAACTATTATATATTTTTATCTACAAATTAGTACAGATCAATAATATATTACACTTTTATTATATTTTTGTTTAATTAAAATAAAGTAACTAAAAGTATAATTAAATTTTTAATTTTTTAAAAAATTTTAAAATACTCTTATTGGATTGATATGATTAATTTATTCGGTTGAAATGATATGTATACTAAATTTTTGGATTGAGTGATATATAATTCAAATAAATTATATAGGAATTCAGTCTGACAATATTAATATTTTTTATTAATTAATTAAGTGTACAGATTATTTGATTTATCATATCTATCCTGAAACAATTGAAGCAACAGATCGAACCCCTCAAGATCAAAAGACAAGTATACATCATCACTTTCATACTGTAATCAATTTTTTTTCATTGGCAATATTATAGCCTAAATTTCACTCACAATAAGTGTGGAATTCTAAATTAACTTTTTTTTTTCACTTTTTTATATTTTCTTTTTATATTTTTATTATATTACTCATTTTTCAATTTGTTTCTCTTTTCATTCATTTTACATGCACTTTTTTATGCGGTGTGAAAAAATTATTTTTATTTTCATACATCAAAAAATTTGTTGATTATTCTTTTAAATTTTCTAATTTATTCCTATGATGCATGGTAAGAATTTATATATAATATTTTTAGTAAAAATTATATAATATATTAATAATATTATATATTAATTTTTATTATTTATTAAAAGATAATACTATAGAAACTTTTTTTGGGATTTTCTTTGACACCAAAATTTGATTTCCATGTAGTGAATGTGAGAAAGAGGGAGACAAAACAGCATTTTCTTTAGGAATGGAAAGGCAAAAAAGGTGAAATTCACAGGGGCATTGCAGTCAATTAGCAAGGAACTGTCATTCAAAGTTCAATCTATAGTGTGGAGAAACAGAATCATGTTATTACCTCAATTTTTACCCTTCAAACTTTTTCCTGTCTCATCCATCTAAAACTATTGTACCACTCTTTCCTATTTTTTTCAAAAGCCCTAGCACCCTTCCCTTTTCTCTGTTTACCTACCTACATAAGGAGGAATATAAATATAACCATTAATATATGTGATCAAAGTCTGAATTTGCACCACCCTTTTAAGGAAAAATAAATCCAAAATCTTGGCAATCTCTGAATTCAAAAACTACCATAAAAAACCAACATTGCCCCGGCTAGTCTTAGAAGTTTTCTAGTATTACTCAATATATAAAAACTACAACTGCAAATAGTAAATAGGAAGAGTCCAATCACTCTCCCATCAATCTTACCACTTCCTCAAACACAAAAAAAATCTTCCATATCACTCTTCTCACATCTCTCCAAAAAAAATAATTAAAATTACAAGTCTGTAATATCAATCAAGAATCAGAGTTTGTTTCCTTCTCCCTTTCCTTTTTCATTTTCTTTCAAGGTAGTTGTTTTCCTTAACAGTAACCTCTAAAATGAAAAGACATTAAAAAAACAATTTTTATAGAGAACAACAATTTTGCTCCTCCACTGTTTCCCAAATTATAAGTATAGTACCCTTTTATCTCTGCTAATCTTCATCCATCCATCCATCCATTCCTCACTCTCACTCACTCACTCACTGTGGTCACTGTCTTAGGAACCCTAGAAGAAGAACCCAGGTAGCAAAGAGACAAACAACCTTGGATCTGCAAAACCCAATAGGTCAGCTCAAGTTCCAGCTAAACCCACCTTCTCTCCATGGATTCACTTCAAGAATTTATGGACTCGTGTAACTCAGACAACATGACCAACACAAACATCAGCACCACTAGCAGCAACAACAACAACGGCTTAATAATTGGTAGCTCCAATTCCCCTTCTGCTTCCTCCACCACAAGCAGTAGCCGCTATGAGAACCAAAAGCGCCGCGACTGGAACACCTTTGGCCAGTACCTCAAGAATCACCGTCCCCCTCTCTCCCTCTCAAGATGCAGTGGTGCACACGTCCTTGAATTTCTCAGGTACATATATAATAGTTAGTATATGTATGCAGTAAGCTTATATGCATGCACTTCTTATTTTTCTTTTCTTGTTGAATTGTTATTGTGATGTGTAGGTACTTAGACCAATTTGGAAAGACCAAAGTGCACACTCCGATCTGTCCCTTTTATGGACACCCGAACCCTCCAGCACCATGTCCATGCCCCCTAAGACAAGCATGGGGTAGCCTTGATGCTCTCATAGGTCGCTTAAGAGCAGCCTTTGAGGAAAATGGAGGGAAGCCAGAAACAAACCCTTTTGGTGCTCGAGCTGTGAGACTCTACCTTCGTGAGGTTCGTGATCTGCAGTCCAAAGCAAGAGGAATCAGCTATGAGAAGAAGAAACGGAAGCGTCCACCACCACAACCACTACAACAAATACCACAATCACTTCCACTACCTCATCACCAACTCCCTCCTCCAGGTGCAACTCAATAAGATTATGGCTATTCTCATTCCATGGAAAAAAGGGTCATTTCTTATGATCTTTTAATTAATTAAGTAGTACTAGTATCTTTAGGGTTTTCTTTCTTCTTCTTTTTTATGTTATTTTTTTCTGAAAGATTTCTGGTAGTCCATGTAGACTGCTTGTAGTTGTATCCTGTTTGCTCTGGCAGGAACAAAAGGTTAAAGATCGATGTGGGATTTGTTTTTATGAACCTGCTTTTAAGGAAGACAGTGTGGTACTGGGAGTAGACTGTTAGTGGGAGTACCCAAAAAGTGGTAGTGAGAGTGAATGAATGTACATGGAGGCCATGATATCCTTGTTTGGGAGCAACCGAAAAGCAACGTGTTATTCATAGTTCTATATAATTTGTATGTACTTCTATCATCCATATATGTCGAGTTTAATTAGACTTGCAGATTATGTATACATGCCTTTGATATTTCATTCTCACTTTTTGGGTTTAATTCTTAAATTGCTGATTTTGAATGGTTCAATTGTATATATATACTCCTTGGTCGCTAGAAGAATTCCATTGCTTCAAGTGGTTAATTTGATTGTTTGAAGCTATAGAATAATAGGTAGAGTCACTTCCGTTCATCTTCATGATTACCGCATTATTTTCATCTTCTGTATGTGTCTCATAATGATGCTCATTAATTAATGGTTTCGTATTCACAAATTTATTAATTAGATTATTATTTTTTTCACAGTTCCGTCTTTCGAAACGAATTGCCACTTTTTACCGTGTCCTTTTGTGTTGTGTGGAAAAAGAATGATAGAGCTCTTGAGGCTTAATCATAATCAGTTGTGTGCTTCAGATCACTGACAAGTTTTTTGGTTTTTCCCATCAAGACTAACTGCTGACCGTTACCTTGGTCAATTTGATTGATGATATTTGTTTATATATGCAGTAGTGCTGTCATTTCAACTGAAGGGAAATGTCGAAAAAAAGGAAAATTAATGGCAGACAATGTAATTAATTCCTCTATGACTAAATTTCTATTATTATTTGTGACTTACATATATAGTCATATACAGACATCAGATCCTAATTAATCTTACCAGTTTGCGAAGACTTCCAATTAATCAAAATTTCTTCCTTGATCATAATATGTCTTTAATTCCCTTGTTTCCATTTTAGCTGGGCTATGGCATCCAAACTGGAAAGTTTGAATGTTCAAAGCTTTTAATTAATAACAAATTAGGTAAGCTTAATAAATATTTTCACCTTACTTAGAAATAACAAAGGATGCATGTTGGAGGCTTATTACATCTACAAATCAAATGCCTAGCTTCTTCAAGGTGATTAATTAAGCAAATTTGTCGGTAAGAGAATACAAAAAGGTCAGCAACAAGGGTAGAAGGGAAAAGGTGAGAAATAGAGTGAAAGTACATTGACAGATCCTTAATATAAGAAATATTCTTAATCTATTTATCGAGCGGACAAACCTGTCTGTCTAATAAAATAGGTTTTGTGATTATTTTGGCCTTAAAAGATGAATTTTTCCGCAATCCCTCTGATCATGAAGAGGCACCTATTTGGCCAAGGCTAGGCGAATTATGCCCAATAGGACATTGGATAGATGCTAGAGAGATTAGAGAACCTTCATATTTTCCTTTTATGTGTGATTCTAGTGGGGTATGTATGACACTACCACTTTGAGACATAGAGGATCTATTCCTTCCTCTAATCATATTTAGGTATATATTATTTCGTTAGTTTAGACTTTAGGCAGTATACATATACTTTTTTATAATCAACGTTTGTCACAGAAGGTTCCCTTTAAAATATGCAGTAAAATTAATTAAGGATTATACGATGAAAGCATTATCTTTATGGGGTCATCATTGATTTGTTTATTAAGCGGTAGGTGAATGCTGTTAACATCGTACTATATTTACGAGGTCGCGCGGCTTCTTTATTGTTTTGTTAGTGTTTGATTCCCAAATGATTATTCTAATTAACAATCCTAGCTAGTTTCCACTTTGCATTGCTAGCTCCATATTAAGCAACTTTTAGAAATGTTAATTGCTTCAGTTTTATAGCTGCTCTATATTTTAATTTTGAAACATAAGTAGCCATTTTCTATAGTTGTATATCTTTCCTTTTCTTTTATTTTGAATATATATTCATGTCAAAACAACAATATTTTGGTTAATTAAATTCATAGAATAAACTCTTACTTTAGTTATCTTGAGATTGCGTAGGTCAAATATTCAGACTACGTTTTAATGTTTAATAAGTTAATTTTAAATTATGGTTTATATACTCCATAAATTTTAACCATAATATTTATTTTGAAAAATTATACTCAAAATTTCATTAAAATGAATTGACAAGAACTTGTGAAAATCATAAGCTCTTTTAAATAGATTTTTAAAATTTTATAATCTCTAACTTTGCAAAATGATATTTATTAAAATATTTTTACTTTAAAAAAAAATAAAAAATAAAAGAAAAACTAACATAAATTTTCTTAAATTTTCAAAAACTAATTCGTTGGACTAATATAATCTTGACGGTTGACTCGAGTTTTACTTTTAAAATTATATGTATGCGTGACAATTAACTTTATTTGTAAATGATTGCATAGACGAATTAAACACATCAATCATTCTTGTTATACAATTCAAGTTACAAAGCCATGGCTCCCAACAAACAATTGCTTAATCAATGAAATCATGGCTATTAGCTATAGATATATGGCAATGAATGCTAATCATGAAAGGAATATTTCCTTATACTAAAAGGTGAGAAAGAGAGGACGGGAGACTCATGATCACTTATAACATATATAATAACATTTAGTAACTTTTTATGAATAGTGTCTTTGTCACTTTAACTATTAAATTATTAATTTGTATGGAGTAAATTAAGTTAAGTAGTTAATTCTTTATTTAATTTTAAATATAATATGTTGTTTAAAAAATATTTGTTACCTGAAACTTCACTGTATTACTTTATATTAATATATGATATTTTTTTTAAATATAAGCAAATGTAAATAATTAAACTGTATATTTATACAAATTATAAATGTCATATTTATATTTAATTTTGTGATATTCTCAGCCATATTTGTATGATTTTAAAAAAAAACAAAAATTATGATAATGTTCACAGCATCTAAAATGTGTTCTGCTAACGTGTTTTGACGCCAATATGATGATTATATATATCTTACAATAATAATTATTTCACACCTAATATAGAAAGATATAAAATGAATAAAAAGAAGATAAGAAAATAAAATAAAAAATATATATTTTAAGTACTGTTTGAACGCATTCTAGTACAGTGATTATGTTAAAATAATGGTGCTTCTTTTATTACTCAAACACACGTATACATGACATAACCACGCTGCCTTTATTTGTTTGCACATTGCACCCATGCATTGAAAAACTCAACAATTTTTTTTTCCTTTTTTTTTTTTTTACTGTTTTCCACCGTTTTGATAGAGAAATTTCCATCTGAACTACGACGCATGCAAATTGCCAAGTATATTATTAGATTTTTCTTTGGTTTTGTTTGAAAATTTAGAGTAAGAAATAAATAAATAAAAAGAAAAGGAAAGAGCAGGATAAAAAAAATTAAAAATTAATTTGAAAAAAATTAAAAAATATAAATTATAAAAAAATTATAAAGAAAAATTATGGAGAAAACGGCTAATTAGTAGCCGTAGAAAGGTTATATTTTGGGGGAAGACGAAAATAATGTGCTATGTATTATTTATTTATTTATTTTAATAAATTATGGGATAGGCACATACGTACGTGCCAATTGTTCAGATGGTTTACGTGTGGGTATACAGAGAAAGGGATTCGTTTGTTCAAGAGTAAATTTTTAATTTATTTAGTTTAATACTTTTTTATTTTTTATAATTTAAATGATAATTTATGATAAATGAAGTTGGAGAGAATTTTTTTTATAAATATTAAATTTTATTAATTTGATTACTGAATTATGTAATGATATTTTTGTAATTATGCATGTAAAATTATAAACAAATTAAACATTTATAAATATATAATTTTATATTCTACATTTATTTTATTTTAAAAAGTATAACATCCATTAAATTTTATACAATTTTGTAGACTTAATTAATATACTAAGAACTGTTAAATCAATAGTTTAATGTGATTTAATATTTATAAAATTAATTATTAATATTATTATGATGATGTTAAATTTTAGATAAAATAAATAACTACAAATACAATTTAATAATTAATATTTTTTTATTTTAAAAAGTATATTATTTATTAAAATAAATTATTTGATAATATATTAAATAATTTTTAAATTTTTTACAATTGAATAATATATTGAAAATTTTCAAATTAATAGGTAAATTAATAAAATTCTGTATTGATATATATTCATTTTTAAACAAGGACAAATTATATTATTTTACACAATTAATAACATAATGTTAAAAAATAATTTTATCAATTTAATCATTAATTATAATTATATATTATTTAAATTATTCGAATCAAATTTTATTCAAATTAAACACAAGTAAGATTGCTATGAAAAGATCTTTATTTATATAAATTATAAAAGTATATATTACATTAATTTTAATAAATAAAATATTAAATAACTTTAAATTAATATATATAATATGTAATTAGAACTTTTAATTTAAAATTAAATTATTAAAAACTTGAACACCTACTTTTCTAAAGTGTAGATTATTCAAATAGTTTTTAACTGTCTTTCAATGGTTAAACAAACGGTCTTTTTAGTGACATAGTAGAACTTGAATTTTTTTAAAAAAATTATCCTTATCGTCATTTGAAGCTTTAATTTCACATTATACTCATAGATAAATTATTTCATCTATATTTAAATATTATATTTTTATTCAGACATTAAGAATCAATAACTTCAAACATTCTTAATTTTAACACAGCATATATGAGTGAGTGTATTGAAATTCGACATTCACTATATATACAGTCAAAGTGATATATTAAC